AGAACTTCACAACAAATAACACATTGTGGTTTCTCAATTTTTGCTGTAATTATTGAGGTAAAACCATACTGTAAAAAAATCCTCACTGTCTGGAGAGCAAATATTTTGAGAATGATGAGGGCAACGAATGTACAAATGTGCTTGACACAATGGATGGATGTATAGATTGTGATAAGAGTTGTATGAATCCCCAATAAAATGATATTTTAAAAATCCTCACTGTAAGATATTAAAAATAATAATTTATAAATTATCAGGGGTTCCTGAGGGAGTGGGGAGTGTGGAAGGAGGGGAAAAAATTTGCTGATACCAGGTGCTCGAGTGGAAGGCATATGTTTTGAGAATGATGAGGGCAACAAATGTACAAATGTGCTTGTTGACACAATGGATGGATGGATGGATGGATTGTGATAAGAGTTGTACGAGCCCCCAATAAAATGTTTTAAAAAAATACTCACTATATTTTCTTTTCTAATGTTCTTCTCTAACAATCCATTGTCATGGGATGGTTTGCTAATGAAAATAATATATAGCAATAGCTTTAATAATACAAAAGATGATACATGGCATAGTTGAGTCAAGACAGTTCATTAGTTTGCTATGACTTACCATTCTTTGTTTTTTTTACATACCCATTACTATCACAAGGGGGCAGTACTCATATCAACCACAGCTGAATATAAAAAGACCGATCAGCATCCAGATTAAGTTCCCATGGTACAGAGATATATATTTTTTGCCTTAGTTGATGATTTTACAGTACATGATTTTAACATTTACCCAGTAATAATAATTCACGAAGTGTCATTTTACCCCCAGTACTGCTGATTTCAACACAGAAGCTACTTTTAACACAGTAGCTGCTCTCTACACAGCAGCTGCTTCCTACACAGGAGCTGCTCTCTACACGTGTGACTGGTCTGTGTAAGTACATTATGGCACCAACCTTGTCACATACACCTGTATTTGTAAGAGGTGTATGTGACAGGGTTGGCACGATGATGTTATCATGCCAGGTACTCGTATGTGGGCGTATCTACAGGCGGACCCACCTGGAGACAGATAGAGAAAAGGTGTTTCAGTTCCTAAGATCATTGGAAATATGCGTTTTCCAATGGTCTTAGGCAACCCCTGTGAAAGGGTTGTCGCGACCCATAGGTTGAGAACCACTGCCCTAAAGGGAAGCAAGAGCCACAACACAAGCAAACACACGCACTCCCCACATTCATTGCAGCACTGGTCACAAGGCAAGAAGCGGGAGCCAGCCCAAATGCCCACCGGTAGAATAATGGATAAAGAAACGTTGGCACGGGGGAATGGATCACAATGATCGATGTTTAACACCCCCCTCCCATCCCCAAAGGGACGAACAACAGAAACGTGGGTGAAAGGAGATAGCGCACGATGTAAAATATGAACATAAAAATAATTTATAAATTATCAAGGGTTCGCGAAGGCGGGAGGGGTGGGGAGGGAGGGGAAAAAAGAGGAACTGATACCAAGGGCTCGAGTAGAAAGAAAATGTTTTGGAAATGATGATGGCAACAGGTGTACATGTGCTTGATACAACTCATGTATGGATTGTTATAAGAGCTGTCAGAGCCCCCAGTGAGATGATTTAGAAAAGGGAACTTTGGTACGTATTCACCATAGGATGCTATGCGTCATGAAAGAACAGTTTGAACCCCCCACGCCCCTCACGGCATGGATGGACCTGAGGACCATCATGCTGAGCGAAGTCAGTCAATCTCAGTAGAACCAATAGTGGATGAGACAGCTATTGTAGGGGTGAAACACAAGACGTAGACTTGCATACCAACGGGAGCAGACTCGGGAGGTTCCCAAGGGAAGGAGAGTAAGGTGGGCAGACGAAGCAATGGACTAGAGGGTTGACAGATAGGATCAAAAAGGAGAAGAGAAATTCAGGGAGTGAGAACAGATAGAATAGGGGGGCTGTTGAGTGATTTAAACAGTTGAATCTAGAGTTGATGGTCTGAAAGGTAAACCCCCCTACCTGATTCACAATAAAGAATTCATTTATTTTTTTTAAAGTCTCAAAATTCCTACATAGGTTTACCATGAGAATCCACTTGATGGCAGTAGGGAATGTACTAGTGATTCCATGTGCTCCACACATACTATTGCATTTAATTCTCACGACAATTCTTGGAGGTCGTTGTTAGGCGGTTCCTAGCTCTCCTATGTTACGATGGAGCGCACTGTTGCAGCCACTGTGTTTATGTGTCTCCTTGGCAATCTTCCTCTTTTTCATTGACTCTATCTTATCAGTATAGTAAAATTTGCAGGGACGAGTCTCTCCTGCTATCGTGGTCAAATACATGAGACAAAGTCACTTGCTCACTTCTGAGGGGCGTCTGGCTGCACTCCTCTCAAGACGGATCTGTCTGTTCTTCTGGCCACCATCGTACTTCCCTGTCCCTTGCCAGCACCACAGTCCAACGCACCAATCCTCTGTGATCTTCCTTAGTCTCTGATGAGCTTTCAGAGCCAGAGGAGACGACTGAACATACTAC